CGAGGCCCGAGACCAGCTCGTCCGGCCCTGGAGCCCCCACAGCGCCCACTGCGCCGACGGCACTGAGACCAGCGGCACCAGGCATCAACATCCTCCAAATTTTGGCGAGATCACCGCCGGACGAGAGAACGACTTGCTCAATTTTGACACCTTGCTCGTTACCTGGGTCAACGTTAACCGCGTCACAGGCTCAACAGCATCTAGGCGAAGTGGGTTTTGGTTATCTGCAAATATACAAGAATTTTTTTCTTTCGTCAATTGATCATGGACTCAATTCAAGAAATCTTAGAATTCTGATTGGAAATTTTAGGCTAGGTGTTATATTTTTTATAATGGTAATAGTTACTGCAATATAATTGCTGTTGTATTTAAATGGCGGCTATTTATCTGTGTATATAGATATATTTTACAGGAGGTGTTCTCCTAGTTTCCAATTCTATCATTTTACTAAACTATTATATTATTATATTACTGTGCTACTATACCATTATGCAACTATATTGTTATACTATTATATTACCATACCACTGTGCTACTACACCACTATCCTAGAATACTACTATTTTCTACTACACTATTGTATCATTCTACTCTTTCGCTAAAGTACTATATTACTATACTATATTACTATATTACTATATTGCTGTATTGCTATATTACTGTATTACTATATTACTGTATTACTATATTACTAAATTACTATATTGCTATACCATTATTTTTCTACTTCCCTATTTTGTTATTTTATTTTTATGTTATTTACTATACTATTGTAATACTCTGCTACCATATTACTGTGCTACTATACTATTATACTACTATACTACTATTCTACTTTACTACTATGCCACTATACCACTATACCACTGTACCACTATGATACTCTGCTACTATACTACTATACTATCAGATTTCCATACTATTATTTTCCTACTCCCCCACATTACCATTTGATTCATTCACAATACTACCATTTTACTATACTTCCATAGCCATCTTACAATCCCAATAAAAATATGAATAGAATCACACAATGCAAATTTTAAACACTCCAAAAAAATACAGCATAAAATTATAAAAGTGATCATATTTTCAATAATTCCATTAATCAACAAATCTGCAACTATTTACAAATGTGCCAGAAAATACAAATTTCATGCTATATTATTTTATGTAGTAATGCTATCACCACAATATAGAATAAATATCTACATTAATATGCATTTTATCTTCAAATCTCCAATTATGTACTAAGTATTTTATCTCCAAGTCTTCAATTACATTAAGTATATTATCTCCAATTAAGTATTTTATAAATCGTAAATTAGAAATGAAGTATGACAGGTTAGCGGTAAATCATAAGAGCGACTGTATCAAACTACCCAAACGAAGCATCGGTAAGACAAAAACGACCCGGTCTAATACCATGAAATCGATGACTCCATCGCGTACAAAAGGGAGCAGATAGAACGCCCTTTCCGAGGGGTCGGTCGAGGGAAAACCGTCAGAGCAACGGGAACGAGAAGAGGAACAGGCAACGGGTCTACAACGAGAAGAAGGACACGGAAAGGTATATACCTCGAAGGGAAAGAAAAAAAGAAAAAGGGCAAGGAGAAGGGACCCTGACCTCCATTCAAGGCTCGGTAACGGTCTGAAAAGGGAGCCAGTTTCGCTTCTCGTGAACATGGCGAGGCTAGCGGGGTTATTTTTCGAGTTTCTGCAATGCTGCAGGCAAGGATGGATAGAGAACTAGAGTCTCTACAGAAAGAAGCTTCTCTTTCTTCCTCTCAACTGGTTCTTTTTTCTCTTACTCTTTCTCACACATTGTGCTGGACGCAGGTACACGCAGGCCCTGCGAAACGGGGCCCTACGACCCCCACTCGCCCCCCACCATGCCCCACCTGCCACACCAATACCAGCGCCATCCCATGACAGTGCACCAGTTCGGCCCTAACGTCGTTCGTTTTTGTTGGATCCCCCAAAACGACGGCAGCTGCTGCAGAAAACCGGTGCAGCACGCCGTATAATCATATTGTTGTATTGCCATCGGGCTACTCCTCCTACTCCGACATCCTCGCCGTTGCTCTTTCTCTCTTGATAGCCGCCCGTTCCTTGCTCGCTTCTTTCCCTCGATCCTAAAACCAAATGCAACTAACGCCGCGCCGGGACGTGAGGCATAAAGACCGATTTTCTGAATGCGGCTACCGGAGACAGGGCTGCTATTACCGCTCTTTACGCCCCGGGAAAATTTTTGCGGATATTTGCGAATTAAACGCAGATTCTTTTTGAATTATTAAATGTTTCTGATTTAAATTTGAATGTTTTTAAGGTACCTTCTGAGGTGGCGCATTGCTGACAGTTTTAATTTTGTAATATTGTAGGACCTAAATTTTAGGTTTTTTAATTTTTTGTATTTTTGCTTTTGTAGAGTAATATTTAGATTTGTGAATTTTCAGATTTGCAATTTTTTAGTTACGAAATTTTGGAAGGGTTAATTTACTAAATTTGCAAGCTTTAAATTTTGTGGAATTTTATATGAAGTCCTTATTTCCAAATTTCGCAATTCAGATTTTTAAATTCTAAATTCTTGAATTCCTAAATCTCCCAATTATGAATATTCAAATTTCCAAAATTCCAAAACCCTAAATTTGCAAATTCCTATCTTCCAAATCCCTAAACCCCTAAATTCCTAAATTTGCAAATTCCCATCTTCTAAATCCCTAAACCCCTAAATTCCTAAATTTGCAAATTCCTATCTTTCAAATCCTTGAACCCTTAAATTCCTAAATTTTGCAAATTCCTATCTTCCAAACCCCTGAATCCCTACACCCCTAAATTCCAAAATTTGCAAATTCTCCAATTACAAATTTCCAATTTCCCAAATCCCTAAATTTCCAAATTTATCGCCTCATGCAACTGCACGTGGTGCACCGTAAACAAGGTCCGTCCCTGACAATGGAAGCAACGACCGTATTACGTGCATGCTTGATAAATAATAAAGCTGCATTTACTATTTCACTTTTTCCATATATACCACATGCAACATTTCAGGTTTTCTGAAACCTTATGCAATCTTTATGATCTTCTTTGATCCATCCCTTCTTCACTTATCTAGCCTGTGTTTTGGCTGTTCAAGAGTTTTACGATCTCTTTATATACCTTGATGAAGACTATATCAAATATAGGGGATTCTGTTATGTGCTGTTCACATCTAGTAAGATCTTAAAGCAAGTCGATAAGATTTGCATTAAAACAAATAAATTTTCTTTGATGTTTAATCTCTTTTATGGATTGAAGATTTGGATGTATACAAAGTTTAGAATAAAAACTTGAAAACAACATTTTGAAATTTCTATGGTGTTGAATTTTTAGATGTTAAGGATACTTACATTTCAATATTCCTGTTAATATCCCTCTTGCATATACATGGATTCCTATGTTCCTAGATTTTTGTGCTTTTAGATTTCTATGTCTCCAAGTCTCTGTACTGTTAAATTTTTTTAGTTCCTAGATTTTTACATTATTAGATCCTTACATTTCCAAATCCCTATCCTCCCAAATTTCTACATTTTTAAATTTCTAGGTCCTCAAATCTCTAAACCCTCAAATTTCTATATCCTTGAATTCTTAGGCTCCCAAGTCCCTAAACTTCCAAATTTCTATACACTCAAATCACTAACCTCACAAATTTCTATATTTTTAAATTTCTAGGTCCTGAAATTCCTAAACCATTTTTCTATATCGTTGAATTCCTAGATCCTTGAATACCTATGCCTCCAAATTTCTAAATTCGTATACTCCTAGATCCTCAAATCCCTAAACCCCCAAATTTCTATACACTCAAATTCTTATACCTTCAAGTCCCTATATCCCCATATCCCTTGATATCCAATCTTTTCATTTTGAAATCTCCATTTTCTTAAATTCTCATATCCTCACTTCTAAGTGTAGAGACACTGCTAAATTTCCCATATGGATACCAAAATCAGTATAACCCTAAATCTGCATATCACCAAACCTTAATATACCCAAATTTCCATATGTCCATAAATCCATAAATTTCATAAATGTCCATAAATTCCTATAACCTACTTTTCCATATTCGTTGCTATCTAAAATCCCTATACTTTCAAATTCTTCCTAAACCACCAAATTTCTAGATCTCAAATTCCTAAATTCTTGAATTCTCATAATAATAATAATAACCATAATAATATTAATAATAGATTGAATATGAGACAGATTTATATCACCCTCATTTTCATTAACGTCTCTTTCAATTTTCGAGAAAACGTACGTTTACAAGCGTTTATTAGCTTCTGTTTCGCGTAAAAATAACAAGAATCGCAGAAACAGGTTCATCGTACTCGAATGAAAAGTCGGATATTTGTATTTTTATTTGCCAGATAAGGCAAGGTGAAAGAACCACTAAAGAAGGACGAGCATATTAAAAGTTTTTGTTAGAAGACGCTGTGCGAGAGAGACTCGAGCAACACTCAAAATTAGAAAGTTATTTAAAACGAGAACGTTTGTGCATTTGGTTCAGTGCACAAGAATCTTCGCACTAAGTCGAGTAAAACGATTCTATTAAAAGTAATTTCTGTTGTTCGCGATTTCTATAAATTAATTTTTCCTTTTTCGATAAAAAGAAACTTGCACTGGGCGATTTTACGTGTGTGTTCCGTGAACTTTCTATTTTAATGAAAATCAGTAACGCAGTGCTGTGAATAGTACAAAATAATTCTATTTTTTTTTTTATAAATATATAGATGGTTAAACACAATTTGTTTGATGCTATTGATTATTACACTAATGAAATTTTAATATAATAAAATTAATATAAACTTCTGAACTTGTAGATTATTATCGAGGTATCTTGTTTAATAATTTAATGTGAGTTACTTGATGTAATAATAGATTTTTAATTAGCTTAATATTAATTAATATTAGCTTAATGACATATTAAATAACAAGTGATGAGTGTTAATTTTAATACTGTATTTTATATTGAAGTTAACTAACAATTTGAGAATAATGAAGGCAACAGACGTGACTGATTTCGAGTTCTCAGTTTTATAAACTTTTGGGGCGTCAAATTTTCAAATTCTGAATATCTAGGTGTCGAATTCCTATTTTTCTGAATTCCTAGACTTCCGAATCCCTACATTCTGAATTCCTAAATTCCCGAATTCCTGCATTCTGAATTCCAAGATTCCGAATTCCTAAATCCTCAAATCCCTAGATCCAAAATTCCAACATTCCGAATCCCCAGATTTCGACTTCCAAAATCTCCGAATCTCCAGATCCCTAATTCCCAAATTCCGGTGTCCCTAGATCCCAAATTCCAACATTCCGAATCCCCAGATTCCGAATTCCTAAATCCCCGAATCCCTAGATCCCCAATTCCTAAATCCTCAAATCCCTAGATCGAAAATTCCAACATTCTACATCCCCAGATTTCGACTTCCAAAATCTCCGAATCTCCAGATCCCTAATTTCCAAATTCCCGAGTCCCTAGATCCCAAATTCCAACCTCTCAAATCCCTAGATTCCCAATTCCTAAATTCCCGAATCCCTAGATCCACAATTCCTAAATTCCCAAATCCCTAGATCCCAAATTCCTAAATCCTCGACTCCCTTGATCCCAAATTCCTAAATCCCCGACTCCCTAGATCCCAAATTTCTAAATCCCTAAATCCCCACCTCCTAAATCTCCAAATCCCTAGATTCCCAATTCGTAAATCCCCAAATCCCTAGATTCCTAATTCCTAAATTCCCGAATCCCTAGATCCTAAATTCCTAAATCCCCAAATCCCTAGATCCCCAATTCCTAAATTCCCGAATCCCTAGATCCTAAATTCCTAAATCCTAAATTCCTAAACCCCCAAATCCCTAAATCCCAAATTCCCACATCCCTCTTCCTACATCCCTCTTCCCCAAGAAACAGAATCTCCAAATTCCCCGAAACACAACCCCCCAAATCCAAATTCCCCAATCCCCAAATTTGCAAAACCCCTAATTTTAACCCCCCGAGAAATTGACTATTCATCACTGCCATCACGCCACGTGACAAGCACGCCCGTGCATCGGTCCGTTGCGGTCGCCCTACCGAGCCCTAATCTCGGCACATCCCAATTAAAATAGCTTATCGAATAACTTCGATTTGTTCCCAATTTTAATTCGAAGGTTATTCGACGGGTTCGAGCGATACCCAACACTGTTGAAAATACGAGTGGTCCAAATACATACTTGTTGAACAGTGTAATTAGCCTAATGGTCTTCGCTGCGATGCTACCATGCTTTTCGATCACGAAGCAGCCTTGTGTATTCGATACTGGCCGATTGCCACGCGCTCGACAAAACTCACTAAAATATCTTCTCGGCCAAAGTCGCAAAGGCCAGACTTTCAGAAAACAAGAGATCACGGCTGTCTTTGTTCGTGCGTTATGGAAAAAACGCGCGAGTTTTTACCGATGCAATTATAAGCTGTTGCCTAAGATTTCTAAATCTTCTCGTTACAGAAGGTGATATACTGTTCCAGGTGAAACCGTGACAGCATACATCCGTTTTATAATATTATCGTACGGTTATTTGCATCTTAATTGAAACACTTGTTGAAGCATTACACACAATCCTACGGTCACGTTCAAAGAAATTTATACTCGATAACGTATGAATTCGGTTAATTGTAATTTTTTATACGCTTCGTTTATGAGCTTTTGGCGATTTATTTGGGTCAATTGAACCGTCGTTTTAATGTTAATTAATTTACTTGAGGTTAATTATGTACGCTTAATTTTTAATTCAGTGATCGTTTTTTTCTTCTTTCATCTTTCGATTTTTTTATGTTGGTTTATGCTTATGAAAGTAATTATTCGCAGTGAAATTGTTTTGATATTTTGATGCAAGAATAGTTGTTTAAATATGAACATATTTTCACCCTATCATGAAGATAAAATGTTCAAATAATTCATCTGTATTACTGTTTTTATGTATTGTAAATATGCTCATCAAAATTATGGATGGTCTTCAATTTTAAATTATAAAAATCTTCAAAATTATTTAGTCAATTTATGTTTCAATCGATGTTTATTTATTTTTAATTTAAAAGTGAGTATATGATCAATATAGTTTAGAATTTTTATTTCTAACTTTTATTGTAGAGTTATAGAGTAGTGAAAGTTAAGATAAAGACAAGCAAAGAAAAATACACAAAATGTCTCTCTAAAATTAAATATGTTTACATATCTTTTAAAATATGATGATTGCTTAAACCTTTTCATTTGTATAAGTCTTTTCATTTGAAACTATTTATCGCTAAATTTGAAATAAAAGCAGTATAATAAAAATGACTAGATAAAATTTTGTGTTCAAAAATGTATCGACATTTTTATCTATCAGAATTAATTATATAAAGATTGTTCAAAACAAAAATATACAAAACAAGAATTGACATTTCTATGTATAATTATATGAAAATAAATGATTCAGAAATAATTTATGAAAACTTATACCGCTGATAAATTGCAGCTGCCGTATAATTTAAACTAACACGATGAAGAATATATGTAAGATAATTTTTCAAAGAGAATACTAAAAATTAATTTCAGTAGAGCAACAAAATCGTTCATAATAAAAATAAGAAGAAAATATATCTAGAAAAGTTATATTTAAATCGAATAATTTATTCGTCGACGATGACATTCACGCGGAGGCATTTTCCGCGAGATATGGACGGTAATATTCCCTAATAAAATAAAGAAGAGGCTAAAAGACAACGAATCTCCAGACGATCGTAATCTCCTACAGAAGTTTTCGAGCCTTCTGCCGAAGAGAAATCGTCCAGCCAACGTCGAGGTTTATTAATAAACGTCGTGGTACACGTGCCCGTGGTGGTGTACCCCTTTGTCGCGACGAACCCGCTGCAACCGGGGGTGAAAGAAGAACAACCGACTAAAGCAGAGCGTTTTACGAAGCACTCCTAAAAACATTTCTCCATCGTACAATCATTTTTCTCGAGTTCACTTCTAATCTATTCGAAACGTTAGTAACCTAATTCCAACGTGACCTTACAGCGCGCCCTTTTGATTTACCGCGGCTCGTTCGAAATCCATTAAAACGCTTCCATCGAAGCGTTCTCATCGAATTACGTTGAAACATCGCTTGCACACACGGCGAATGCAAAATAATCGCTCGAAGTAACTTTGTATGAAAGGAAAGTTTTCGATACGCACCTCTAACTTTTCGGAGCACTGTCACTAGATGCACTGTAACGTTGTCGTAAATTCCAAGGAAAATCACCAGGAAGAAATTCACACTAACAACGTAGCTCTATTTCTTTACTAGCGTAACAAAATATATATGCGTGTACGTGCGTGCGTGTGTGTGTCTATTAATAGTTAAGTCGACGTTAACAATGCACAGAGACAACTCGTATTTAATTACCACGGGTTCGTCGGTAAATTTCGCAGGTTTTGCTTTTCGATGAAAGGAATATCCGGCGCGAAACACTTTTTATGACACGTACGTGGTAACTGACTGGTGTCCTTTACAATTGGCGATGTTCCCTGCGCGCACACATCCAACACGAACGAAGACCCACGTGCGAGTACCGAACTGCCTTTAAGTTTGCCTGTTACCGTGCTGCCCGCCAGTTCGCCGGGTTTCTCCCCGATTTCTCTTCCCATTGGTCCAATGGGAACCCCCACCATTCCCGCACGCCAGTACCGTACCGTAACGAACCACAAACGAGACACCCGATGAGATGCAAAAACTTGAACCGACCAGTGACGACGTGTTGACAAATCTTTCGTCATTTTTGCTGAGACTCCGGTTTTTAAATGGCCATTAACCGTGAAACGATGTTATTCGCTTTATTGCCAAATGCACTTCGATTACGTTGTTTACAGTATCTAGTCGATTCTGTTCCACTTTTTTGATGTTATAGTGTTTTTATACTTTAACACAATAACAGAATTTTTTCATACTTTTCAGTTTCGTATTTTTCATGTTGTTGTTCGATAACTTTTATGGTTATACAGTTATTTGATTTTTAAAGTTTGTTCAATTTTCTTTTTTATGTTCTTGAAATTTTATGTGCAATTCTTCTATTGCTGTAAAGTGTACTTTGTTCGTATTCAAGAAATTCTAATTTTTGAATACATTTGACATCGGCGCTCAATTTAAAATTCGCGCGCTATTGACCGCGAGATTTAAAACAAACGAATGCATCGTTTATAAGATTATTTTTTAGAAATGTGCAAGTCTATGGCGTTTTCAAGGCAACTTTAATATTTCAAATCACAATTTTTTCAAATATTATTTACTCAAACATTTTCATAACCTATCACACAAACAATGAAAACAAACATAATCATAAATTAATCGTTGAATAAAATAATGTTTTCGTTCAAATATATATAAAAATACATACAGAAGATTCTTTATTTGTTCACCATACAAATTAAGTATTTACAAACCACTTAAACCCATCACTACCTTTAACCTCATCGGTCAATCATGACCTCTGCAACTCATTATAGATTCAAAAGATTTTCTCTAATACATGAATATAATCCTAATTTAAAGAAACTAAAAATCGTACACGTGTTAGGTTATCAAAGACCAAACTTTATGGACCGAGGGTTAAAGTGGCAGCACAAAATGATCCTATAGGATCTATAAGTAAGGAAAGGCGGTATTCCATCGAGGAGTATCAGCTGTTCGAATTATTATCGTTGCAGACGACGGCAGATGTTTACTAGGCTGAAACGCTCCCCCGAAGACTTTGAACCCGCTGATCTCTTTTCTTTGGAACGAGTGAAAAACTTTTAAGGAAGCCCAACGTCCCGTTCAATATCGCACAATACCGATATCTCATCTACACTTCTACAAGGGATGGTATTAATAAGAATATAAGTAGGAAATTCAACACTCCCACATTTTCAAATTTCCAAACAAGTTTCGGGTTTCAGAATTGAGGTCTCACTTCCATACTTTTTTATTTCAGAATTTTTTAATTTTTAGGTTTTTAGGATTTCAGAATTTTCAATCATTCTCAGTTTGAATGAGAGTTTCTGAATTTTTCAGTTTCAAAATTTCAATGGCTTTTCATCTTACATTTTGACTTTATATATAGTTTAATTTATACAAATTTTCCATTATAAATAAGCAACTTAAATACCTATATCCTGAACCTATAAAAATGTTACACATGAATTTATAACAATATTAATTTATGCATGAACTTATTTTAGTTTAGCTCAATTTACAAATTATTTTTCCATGATTCCTAAAAAATTGCAAAACCTAAAAAATACCAATAAGCTCGATGCTTATGCAAGTAGTATACAGAATTTGGTATAAATAAATAGTTTGTCACCGCTTCCCGAACTAACCAAACAGAATGGCGTTTGCGTCGGGCACTTTCCCTCGGTGGAGAAATAATTCGGTGATCCTCCTCTTCGATCCCAGGATCTCGGCAAGCTCTGTTCATCGCATTGTTCGAAACCTGCCGTTAGTTACGTGTCCACAAAGTATAGGATATCGTCGTCGTCTGCGTTCGAAGGAGACCCCATAGGTTCGTGGCACGCGCTGCCAGCTGCCTCACAGCTGTCTTTCTCCTCTGTCGTCCCCTATAACACGGGACCGGGGTTCTTACCCGAGCGTAGAGTACGTTTACCACACAGAACGAAACGTTCTTCAACACAGAAAGAAACGTTCTGTCCCTGTGTGCACGTGTGTCAAGTTCAAAAAACGCGTGTGTTCCAAACGCTGCGCTATGTTCGTAGGTAAACCCGGCACACTGCTACGTCGTTGCATACCAAATGAGAGGCACCTTCAAGAAATGTTGAGATGCCGGTCCTGAAAGGGTGAAACGACACCGTTTATTGTTCGCCAACAGGATGTCCCTTTGGCAAATTTACGAACTGCACCGTTCCTACTGGACATTCTTGATTTTGCTTTACTCGTTCTGTTATTACGGTTGCAAGATTTCACCCTTGGAGGATGGGCAAATTCTATTTGCTTTTGACTGTTAAGGATTAGGTCTTTCGACGCAATTGAGACAAAATGAAATAGATAAATTTTTGATAGGTTTAGGCTAAAGCAAAAATTTTTAATAGTGCAAGTTTTATGGCTTGATAGCTTAATATTTATGGGTTGTATCTTTAGCCCTTTGCACTCCTCTGTCAGTATGGCTCGACATCATATTTCTCTTGGATAGATTGGTTGAATATATATAATATCATTTATTTACTGTTTACATCATATTTCTCTTGGATAGATTGGTTGAATATATATAATATCATTTATTTTCTATTTGTAATAAATGAAAAATGTATTTGTCACAGTTGCAATTTTATTGAGAACCCCTTCTTTGATCTATTTTGTAAATGGAAGAATTGATAGGTAATAGAAATTAAGGAATGCAGAGGGTTAAACTGCAATCTTAAAAAAGACCAATCTTATTAATCAAATATTAGGAAATGAGCAGTGTATTTTTATTTTCATAAAACCACCCCCGATTTACAATACAAATAATTTTACCCACCATCAGATTATATACACATAACTGACAGATTGTTTAATGGTAGATAATAAATTTATCAAATCGGTATATCGATTTTATGTACATGTAACAGTTATACTATGTATTACCGTTTCATTAGCGTAGAGCGTACGGGGTTCTACATTTGTGGTTTCCCATCCGGCTCGTCCGGCGCGCAGGAAATAGTCCTGAAGTGTCCTAGAGGATGCAAGGCTATTAGATTTCGCGCGGCGAAGAGAAAAAAACCGTTAGAGAGAGACGGAGAAAGGAGGAATGGTAACGGGAGACGAAGAGAATGTAAGTGCTCGCATCGAAAGCAAAAAGCGAAAAAGGAAAACAAGTAAAAAAGACGGAAAACCAAAGTGCGCGCGATGAAGGCCGGAAATCTCAGGGCATTCAACCTTAACACCCGGTATATATTTAGACTTAAAGAGACACGTTCTAATCTGATCGCATAGATATTTTCTTGACAATCCGTAGCTCTACGAAGATGTAACATTTTAATATATTGCAAAAAATTATCAATCGAAGCCTATGCATTTTGTTTGATATATTCAAAAATATTCGACTCGATTTTGTTATAGGAAAATATTTTCTTTGATGTAATTAATCTTTACTTGGTTTGTTGTTTTTTGTTTAATGCATATGAGAAGGATCTAGTTATATTGCCACCTTTATTAGGTTTTATGTTACACTCTCTCATTAGAGAAATAAGACAAATTCTTTATCAACACATTGCATTCTCAATTGCAACTTACTCTTTAGGGGGTTGTAAAGATAAGGACGTAAGGGACTTACATGATATTGACGGCAATATAACGAAAATCAGTATTTGAAGAATACAGGAAGATCAAAGAGAAAACAAGCCAATAGTCAATATATTAGTAGTATACGAATGCAATGAGTAATGAGTATGTGACGTTCAGTGACAAACAAAATGGCGGGCATTGCACGAGACAATAAAATGGTGCATCCATTATGACGCTCAAAGATTACAATTATCAAAATTTATACATAACCACTTTCTGGTTGGATAACATTATAAGAAACAATATATTTTATATTTATGGTCGTTGTTTCAATAAAAATTCGTGTATTCGAATATACGGCCACCCTTTAACGCTTCATATGACGGGTAATCTGAAGGACATCATCCATTAGCACACTGTCACGATAAGATCGAGGCACCGAAAAAGAGCTGAACACTTCCGTGAAGGAAGTCGATCGTTTCCTATTTGCTTATTGCATAATCGCGCACGCAATACCCGGCCCGGTATCGGGCTACCGCTACATACATACATTAAACTTCGAAATAACCAATAAGTGTGCGTACACTCTCTCACACCTTGCATGCACGCAACACTCGACTACTTAATGACGACCGAGTGAACTTGCTAATTATTTAAATCAGACATTACAACCGTCTCGATGCAGATGTATCGTTGCCGATTAAAATGTAATTCAATTCAGTACGAAATTCGATCAAATTTCCAATGCAGATTAAAAGGTTAATAGTGATTCGTCATTCTCTCGAGAAAGTTTTGCACTGTTTGTCCTTGCGTTCTTCGATTTTGTGATATGGGGATATTGGGGTGTGAGGATTCAAGTTTATGGGGAATTTCGGGATGTGGGGATTTTGGGATTTGGGGATTTTGGGATTTTGGGATTTTGGGATTTGGGGATTTGGGAATTTGAGGATTTGGGGATTTGGGGATTTGGGGATTTGGGGATTTGGGGATTTGGGGATTTGGGGATTTGGGGATTTGGGGATTTGGGGATTTGGGGATTTGGGGATTTGGGGATTTGGGGATTTGGGGATTTGGGGATTTGGGGATTTGGGGATTTGGGGATTTGGGGATTTGGGGAATTAGGGATTTGGGGATTTGGGGATTTGGGGATTTGGAGATTTGGGGATTTGGGGATTTGGGGATATGGAGATTTTGGAATTTGGGGATTTTGGGATATGGGGATTTTGAGATATGGGGAATTTCGAAATTTGGAGATTTTGGGATATGAGGAATTTCGAGATTTGGGGATTTTGAGATTTCAGAATTTTAAGATATGGGGATTTTGGTACATGGGGATATTGGAATTTTGGAATTTTTAGACTTGGAAATTATATTATTTTCGATCTCTGAGATTCTAAGATTTTGAAACCTAGGGATTTTTATTCCAAATGACTTAGTGATCTAGGAATTTTTGTATCGAGGGACCTTGAAATTTTCTAACCCTGCAATTCAATAATTCACAAATTTTGAGACTAAAAAATAGTTAAACTATCCAACTCCAATTCAAAATTTCGAGAAATGCAATATAAGCAAATATGCAATAAAAGAGAGCGCGTTCAAAATTGCTTCCCGGTTCATAAAACTTTGCGAACCTCGAAAAGTCAAATTTAACTTACCATTGCGATCTTAATTTAAACATAAGACATATTTGTATTAAATTTATATTTTATTTTACAACGCAAAAGTGATTTTCATAAAATTGTTCAATGGCCGACCGCTCCATCTGTGACAACCGCGGTGCAATATTCTCGCAACGACAATCAGAGCGCAGTGTACAGAATAGAAAAATTTTCTTCGGTAAAAGATCGTTCGTGAAAGCTGCAAAGTATTTGCGTCTTTAGAGACACAATACTAGCAGCGTCGGCCTTCTCGAAATAGACGAGAAGCCCAGCCTTCCAAACTCGTCTGAAAATAAAACAGGTTTCTTCCCCGTGGACCATGTTGTCCGATTGGTCGACTCTGGCGGAAGAGTTTACCGATTAATGGTCTATTAAAATGAATTACGATTTATGCCACCGTTATCGTCGAACTTTACGCTGAAGAATAAATTACCGGCCACACTGATTCTTCTACATTTTTCATTGTCGACTGTAAAAACAATTTCGGACAGCTGTATCATCCTTGCACAATTGTGTAAACAATCTGTAGTTTATGCAAAACAGAAATACAGATATATGTATTCATTTTAATTTAGATGCTTTATTGTGATGGATTCAATAGAATTGTAGTTCGAAATAAATATTCATAACACAAATCTACTCTATAAAATATTTGATCGATCTGTAAAGTACTATGTGTAAAAGTGAACTTTTGTTATGTGCAAAAAGAAGTGTAATTTGAAGTAATTTTTATGTAACTCGCAGTGCAAGCATGTCATTAAAATGAACGTCAGCTTAACTTAAAATGAACTTAAAGATTTTTATGAATATTAATGAAACTTAATATGCAATTGACATTAAGTAATAGAAATGTAAATTCTATTACTAGAAATGCAAATTCCCGGTGAAATTTGGAACGTTATCAATAATATTAAAATGTGTTTTCCGCATGACGCAGATTCGTCTTGTGTCTCGCGTTCAAGGCAATCAACTCCATTACACTTGCACCATCTTCGTTTCGATAATCCTCCCATTTCATCTTCTTCCGGTTCACGCCTATCCAGTAATCATCGTCCTCGTCGATGTAATCATCTTGAATATCGTCGTAATTCTTGCTTGCAGCATTATTCATTAACAACCGACCTAACGCTTTAGCTTTCTTCTGCTTTTTCCTCGACATATTTCTTTTCCTGTTAACATTTTCCGTACTTCTTTTCCTGTGTTTGTCCGACTCTTCTAATAAATCAAATAATTTCGGAAATAATTTTGAAAGAACTTCACGTTGCTTCACATTTTGTGAGTACAAATATTTGAGGTCATCTTTGTTTATTAAATACATTTTATAAATTTCATTTTTTTGGTCGTTCGTAATGTTTTTCATGACATGAAAGACGGTAGTCGATTCTTCTGATTTTTTATCTGAATATATTCCTACAAAAATAATCGTTGAGAGATACAAAAACAATTCTTTCATCATGGTAAATTATCATGGTAAATTATTAACCTAACCTATCCTAACCCCCATATTAAAATGATTGCTACCATGAAAATGTATGCATATCGAGCTTTTAAATCAGTAATTAAAGACCGTGATTAATGCAATTAGTCAAGAACGTTACACGTTTTAGTACTCACTTGCTGAAGCATAACAATCAGGGATCGCCAGCATGGTAAACAATATAAGTATTTTCATTTTTACACACAGTACTATTAACGATACTCGATGAACTGTTAGCTATTAGCAGATCATTAACACTCTTGCTTTATTATTGTCGTACCGCGCGAATAAGTTTCGTACTAGACTGTTAAGGTTAGAATTAATTTCGATCGTTACAAAGAGGATGTAAATATTTCTAAATAGAAATACAAATATATAACAGATAGATACACAGTAGAATATTCGAATGTACAGTAGACTCTCGTTATATTGCCGCCTTCAACTCACACCTAGTTTCCTGTCAAATAGAATTACTGACACATAGGTTTACTTAATAATAGGTTTATTTAATTAACCCAGAACTTAACAAACAGAGTCACAAATTTAATTTAAATTCTCAGTATAACAAATTGTATCCATTTTATTATTTACAATAATTTTACATATACACTTCATAAACCTTCAAACACAAAAAGGTAGAAAAAATGACAAGTATCATAAATTCTATAAAATGTTAATTTATTCAAATCCTAAATGTTTCACGTATTTAAAAATAGTACAATGATTTTATTATATTATGGGTCTGAAACCATGATTCGAGAGTGACGGTGAATTATCCGGAGTGTACAGGTATCTCTTAAAATCGTTGGAAAAATATTCAGGTATCTGTTCTTGCTGAAATTGATTTGACACATAAGGATCTCCAGGAGGGGCAGAATAATAATTGTATCTTTGATCCGAATAGAAATTAATAGGTTTATCGTAAGAAGGTAGATTGTAATTGATGTGCTCGTAATCGTGATATTTATACTCGTTCGTTTCTGTGGTTATATCAACGTGGTTTATATTTTGCGGATATCCACCGTAATAGCCGTAAAACGGGTAGCTGGTGTGATTATAATTCCCCGTCGAGTTTTGAATGGGGTTTACGGTCGTGTTACTTGAAGTAGCATTTATATTAGCATGAGTATTTTGTTTAGAATCATCCTCGAGCTCGTTGAAAGCGGCCATGTTGACTTTCTTCTGTGCGCTGCATGCAGTGTCAGGAGTCATCATCTGTTGATCAAAATAGTAACTTATCGACTCGAAAATTACTGAACTGTCGCAGAATTGATTGTAGTGTTAGCTAAAATCAGCTCTTTATAAGATACACAAAATTTGTTCCAAAAATTTAATACTTGACTTCTCAGAAAATGATAGAAGCACCTCTTGCAACTTTCTACCTACTCACAAAGATATTTAACAAAATTTTTAAAAGAGCAATGGAGGAACATAGAAGAACATTAGAGCTCTAATTACTCAAAACAAAACTTTTGAATAAATCATGTCAATCATTTACCTTATCTTCCATAGTTCGATCAACTTCAACATCAAATTCGCCCTCCTCCATATTGTCACCGGTCTCGCTCGAAGCTTTCACTTTTTCAACTTTCATAGCTTCATCCACATACTGATCATTGCTTAAATCTGTCGCTTTATCCGACGAACTTAAACTTTGCAATCGTTCTGGTAACGTTTGGAAATTATTATGCATTCCATTGAGAGACAGCAATCGCAGCGGGTCCCACAAGGGATAAAAGTTCAGAGGAGCGGACAATATGTAAGGGTGTGTCAAATAAGAGTAAGGGTTGTAAATCGCAGCGATGTGAGGTGGAATTCGGGATGCTTCGTTTAAAGCAACAGGCGGTAATTTAGTGTTAGTTTTTGTGTTCGGTGCACTTGTTAAATCACTGACACTTAAACCGGCTAGAAAAGCCAAGCTTCCTAAAATCTTGGATTTGCGGTTCGGAGAATCAACCTTTACGTTCGCGATTCGTTTCAGTTCTTGTATCATCGAGGAATTTTGTTCTGGTACTAAATTCTTCCATGCAATTTGCTTTTGCGTTTGGTTTTCGATACTTTTCGTGGTAGATGTTTCCAGTGGATTCGAAATCACATTCGTTTGGTCAGTTGTTATACTTTTGCAGGTTCCTGGGTCGACAAATGGATTCTTTGAGTAAATAATTAATTTTATAATTTAGTGTAAGTACTCACCATTCCAACAAACGTTCACGGTTAAAAAAACCAGAATCAAGAGATTCATTGTTGCTGGACGATGCTTGAAACAAGAATGAAATGAAACTGTGAAAGCTGTGTGACAAAATTCAAACGTACCTGCGGGTTACCCTCATCATTTATCTCGTGAAAGTGTGTTTTTAAGCTATCGTTAAAAATATGCTAATTGAGTTTGTCTAAGCTTTTTCTTTGGGACATGTGGGTATCTAACGACTCATCTACTGCTTTCTTTAATAATACATTACTTTCACGATGATTATTCGGAACACTTCTGATTGTTATACATCAATAATAATTATAATGAGCGAAAGTGTTATATTTCACTTTTGGAACACTTATTTTTATTTTAATATTGATTTATGCGATAGCGTATTTATTACGAGCACCATTTTCGATTTTTGAATTTGGCGCGCATGGCAGAGACGTGCACGCAGCACTGTTTATATCCGCCATAAGAGAAATCTGGTTTTTACATGTCAAAAAATTTCTAAAAGAATGATTAGTACAACCGCAGAGGATGTGCAAACGAAAGAAAATAGCAACTTAGAATTTGCTACTCCAGAAAAGCAAGAAGCACGTGCATTTTTGCGTGAACGATTTCTGCGTGTAATTACCGGCATTGTTGGTATGAAATTTTACTTTCTCTAGATACTTATCTATAATAGTTTCCCTTCTCGAATCTATTATAAAATATTTTTTTATAATTTTTGTAACTTAACAATTCTATGTCAACGGTTCTAATTATTACTATTTGTTAAATTAATGTAATTAATAAAAATTACTTAAATCTGGCGCCAATATCGAAAACATAGCCTTGCAACAAATTAAATTTAACTGCAATTTGTGCAAATAATACAAATAAAGTACTAAATAGAAAGTATTGAATGAAAAGTAGCATAAATTTATCTTTCAAAGTAATATTTATTTTGCAACTAACAGTTACATGGACTTGAATTTTACAAGTATAAATCCTTATCTGTTACAGGCAAGAAAGCAGAATTTTATTTATATGAAAATACTCGAGTTTCTGCTGAATTTAGAGGCTGTGACATAGATTGTTTAGAGATATATGTACGTAACCTGGAAACACCGTTAGGAAAAGTTCCAGAAGCTATTCTGAGAGCAAATGACATTATTCATATGGAGGTGAATGATATCAATACATCGTAATAAAGTCTAGTAACATGGGTAAGTTAGATATGAAATAATACTTTTATTTTTAACATATTTATTTTAATAACTTATATAAATATTTATGTACAATTTATGATTTATGATCGACGCATGTTCAACATTGTATTTATTTCTAAAATAATACGTCGTAAATGATCAATGATTTCTTTAAGATGTCTATTCTTTAGTACAACTTGCTAAAAAAGAAAAGAAAACAATTAAAATTAAATAAAAGGTAATATTTTACCTTTCATTTTATATATCAAAGAACTTATTATCACCTCTATAATTTCCTTGCTCTCCTCACAAGCAAGTCTGTAAGCTTCAGACGTCTTCTTCTCGTCAGATTTCATATCCCATTCTTCTTTTAAAGGAATTAAACTTTCTATATGCGTATATTCCATTCCTTGAAGTTGGCAGTTTTCATTACATTTTTCATAAATCAGTCTTAAACGTTTGAATAATAGTTTTAGTGTTCTTAATTGGTCTTGTACTTTAGTCTTTTTTTCATTGGATAAACTTGCTCCTTGTGCCATACCTAAAATTATATTTGACTTAGTAATACAATCAGCCACATGAAATAAATTCAGTTTATAATAACCATTTGGTGGCTGAAGAACTCTTAATGTTTGGAAGACTTCTAATGTACGACTGACTATATCTTGCACAGTTTCTTGGCCAAACCTGCATAAACTGACTGTATTAAATTCTTTATTTTGTTGTTGTTGTTGAGGTGGTGGTTGAGTAGGAGGTACAGGAGTTTGTGGAGTAGTTGCTTGATTGCTTGTCTGGTTATTTTGTTGAACCATTGCAGCTTGCTGCTGCTGCTGTAATTGTAACTGTTGTTGCTGCAGCTGTACTTGTTGTTGCATTGCCACAGATTGTTGTTGTTGTTGCTGTTGTGCCAACACTTGTTGAGCACTAGGCATACCCATAGTATTAGAACCTACTCCACCAACGCCGACTCCAAATTGTTGAGGGTTTACCATACCTATAAATAATTGTACTTTTTAATATCCATCCTTATCTGTTAGTTACTTTCCCTGCTAAGAATTTACTTACTGCCCTGTTGCGGTCCCATTAAACCAGAAACCATTTGTCCTCCACCAAATTGTGTTCTCATTGCAGATTGTTGTACATTGGGAAACCCAGATGGGAAAGGATGTTGTTGTCCAGCCATTTTATCTTAATTTTGCCACAGCTTCACATTCGTAAGAGCAAAAAAACACAGGAATCAGTCGACGAAGTCAGACAATTTTGAGGTTAGAATTAAGTTTAATTTTATATCTTTGTCGTATGTAAATGTTTTGTAATTTTAAACAACGATTTTACTAAATCCCATTCATGTTTAATATCGGCTAATCAACAAAATAAGAAAAAAACATACAAAAACTATTATTTACATTCGATACACCCAAACGAATAATTTCTATCACGATACAACCTTGTTGGTTACTTGAAAATAACTTCCGAATTATAGCATCATGCCTGCGACACGTATAAAACAATAAAATATGCACATTTCATTTGTACATGTGCAACGTAAAAGTCACCTCTCACATTTTATATCGCAAATTGTTGACATCGTATTGCGCATGTATTCTGCGCACACAGTGTCAGTGTTCGTATCACGTATAATCTTATTAAACCATATCAAAATAATTGCGAATATAAAATTTTATATTTACCTCAATAATTATTTCAATAAAAATGTATAATTTTTAATCGATATACAGTAATATTATTTAAATACGAACACTTGCAATTAATAACCTAACAGCACGAGAATAGCTTCCAGTGTTCAATACAAGAAATTTGGATGTAGTTTTATATTGTATACATGTGGGTTCGTATACCATACTGTATTTACAATAAATATAGGTTTATTCTATTTTTATATGCTTGAATATATTTTAATAATACCTTCGCATTAACTTTTTTTGGTATTCTTTTATAATTTATTTTTAGTTTGAAATGAGTACTTTTATGTTAATTATAAATTTAATTAATTGGAAAGGTTTCACCCCCACATGAAAACTTATATAATATGGCATGATAAGAAACTATCATAAACTGTTTAGAAATTAATATATTTATTATATCTCACTTGATAAAATGATCTATAAAAATATTCATAATTAACAAAATCATTGATTGTATTCACAAATTCAATTTATTAATTGTGTACACAAATGTATTAATTGTGTATACAAATCAAATGTACTAATTGCGTATGCAAATCAAATTTATTAATTGCATACGCAATTTATTAATTGTGTCTACAAATTAAATTTATTAATAGAATATATGAAGGTACGAAATAATATTTGTTATCAAAGTTCTTCTGTATGAAGTAACAAATAACTGTAGTACTATTGTAAGTCCAATTTTATAAGTACAAACAAAACTGTTAGTTTGTATCAGCAAATGTATGTAACTTTGTGAATGAAAATGTAAGAGAAAAGATTATTTGTTTACGTGAACAAACAAGGGTTGAAATTGAAGCAAAGCATAGGTTGTGTAAAGCGTATCCGTAGATCAAAGTCGAAGTGAAATTCTTCGAAAGAGATAGGTCAGATTTTGACGGTATTCGAGCGATGCTCAAACAGGAGATAAGGTCAGCGAACACGAAATGAACACAGTAGACATAACGGCCCAATCTTCAGTCCTTGTGCGGCTTGTTTGCCTCTGCGTTCACATTGTTTTTTCCGTCGCAGTCAGTGTCCACCGCAACGGAGGCTGTTACAGGTCGTGCTAAGAAACGGTACGCGAAGAAAAAAACGATACCAGTGAAAGAAAAAACTGTTCAACGCTTCAAAGATGCTACGCAAATTGTTTCTGATCGTGACCGCTGTGAACATTGTTTGGTTCAGTGAAGGGAAAGCGATTCAAGACTGGAATTTCAAGCTGGACGCAACGAACGGTGCTCCGAATGAGTTGATTAACGAAAATTCCAAAACGAATCGGATCGACCCGGTGGACGATTGCGTCGATTGCGAAAGAAATAAGGCGTGTCCTTACGAGAGCAAAGAGTTATGCTTAATATTTTCTTTATCGAAAATCGCTAAAATTCAGATCGCCTCGTTGAGCGAGCATGCAGAGAAAAATGCGAAGAATATCGAAGACAGGAGAGATGTTTATCTCGATTACCCGAAACAGCCCGACAATTTTCAGGACGACCGTGCGAAATCGTCGAGCGTTCACTGTCGGGCCATTCGGGATGTTTACATACCGGAAGTCAAGCAACACCTGCCTGCGTTTGCCTGTCAATTTGGGAATAACAGGTTCATCTTATCGAGCGCGAGATTTCTTCAAGACCGACGATCGCACTTGGACATAAACGTGAACGAGGATACGTTCAAGAACATCAAATCGACTCCGAAAGTCTCGAGAAGCAACGAGTTCAATGTTGTACCGGCTTTGCTTGTTTTGAACACCGCGAATAATGATTATAGGATAGAAATGCAGGGGAACATTTCTAAGGAAAGGAACTGACAAAGTATTTGCTGAAAGTTCAAATACGCTTTACCTTCGATTTTACTTGGTAAACAAATATCTATATTAAACATTGTAATTACAGTTGCATTGGCCTTTGTAATCGTTAATTAAGAAATATACTATTTTTATAATACAATTAATCTAGTTTATTTGTCGATGGGGTACATGGGTACTTGGGATTTGGGAAGTCGAAATAGTCTTTTTTTATGGATTAGTTTTGCCAATTTGGCGATTTTAGAGATTTAAGTATGTAGGGATTTAGGAATTTAGGGATTTGGGGATTTGGAGATTTAGAGATTTAGGGATTTAGGGATTTGGGGATTTAGGGATATGGCAGTTTTAGAAATTTGGGGATTTAGGAGTTTAGGGAGTTGGAAGTTTGAGAATTTAGGGATTTTGGAATTTGCAATTTGGAATTTTGAGAATTTGAGAGTTCTGAGCTTTGGGAATTTAGGGATTTTGAAATTTGAGAATTTAGGATTTTAGGGGTTTTGAAATTTGAGAATTTCAAGATTTAGAGTCCTGGAAATTTAGAGATCTGAGAATTTAATAATTTGGGTATTTAGGGATTTTGGAATTTGAGAATTGGGGAATTTAGGGATTTTGAAATTTGAGAATTTCAAGATTTAGAGTCCTGGAAATTTAGAGATCTGGGAATTTAATAATTTGGTTATTCAGGGATTGTGGAATTTGCAATTTGGAATTTTGAGAATTTGAGAATCCTGAGATTTGGGAATTGCGGGATTTGGAAATTTGAGAATTTAGAGATTTAGAAATTTGAGAATCTAGGAATTCAGCAATTCGTGGAATTAAAAATGTATTGATTTGGGAATTTAAAGATATAAAAATTTGTATATCTGGCAATAGTAGAAATTATAACAATACAAAAATTTAGTGGTAAAAAAATTGTAGATATCATCAAAATTTGAACAAAAATATACAAAGCTTGAAATCCAGCAAAAAATGACAAATCTGAATATTATTTCATAACAACAGTGCCAATATACACTACAACAATTAGCCAACGTTCCCTATAAATATGGCCATATAACGAGACTCCACGTACGAATCTCTATTCTAATTATTCTAATTCGAAAATACTCATGTACCTCTTCCAACCATCTTTAAACACGATTTCCATAAATCTTTATTGCATCTCATGAACTATTTGTAATACTTGATAATAGGATAAGTCTATTCGTAAAGTTATTCATCACAAAATTGTATACTACTCATATCACTACAAGTAAGTCTCACTATAAAAGGGTGTACGTTTTCTTTATTTTGATTTGTCATTCAACGATTGTTTCTCCGTTCGTTCTTCGTCTGCTTTGAGAAACATCGGCGGTGACAGTAATTTTTGAACGTTGGATAAAACATTCGGCTGACGTTGATTTTTAACGGGCATTTCTTCGTTGGAGAGCGTGGATGCTGGAGCATCCTTGTCGACATCTTTAATTGGAGAGGGGTCAGGTTGAATTGAATAATTGGCGGTTGGATCAACTTCTATATGCTGTTTAAAAATTTCTTCGTTAGTATTGCGATTAATTTCATCTGTTTGCAATCGTTCGTGCAGGTCCGAATTGAGCTCTTCACTTTTTCTAACATCGATTTGCAATTTCTCCAGGGTCTCTTTCTTCTCTTCGGTCAGTGGATTAACCTTGAATATAAAATAATAAATTAAGACTTTCATATTCTTTTGTTTCGATTGTGTATTGTAAAATCACATTTTTTTAATGATTGAATCATTATTTTTACCCTTTATTGATTTTCTCAATTTTCAACATAAAATTAGGGTCATATAAGAAGGACATAAAATAATAATGTAATATATTTTGTATCAACTCCAGAACTAAAAGAAAGGTATGTATTTTTACAAAATTATAATTATTTAGTGTTAAAAATTGTAATATATTTTATAAAATATTTATAAATTCTTAATGTTTTTATGAACTTTTAGTTTTTATTTTATTTTCTCCCTGTACATGCAATTTTCAGTATGAAAATTATTATGAGAATTATCTATGTAGTTTCTTGAATTATTTTCATAAAAATTCACTTAGCAATAGATTTTCTATTTTGAATATTCCTATTTATTTTATAATATCTTGAAAATTATCAAGTTTATATTACACAGCAAAAAAGACACACTTTTTAGTCAAGCTTCAAATATTTATCTCTGTAATTAAATTTTTAGTAATTCGATTGAAAATATTATTTTTAGCAGTACTGTTATTAAGAATTTCCCATTTACGCATATACAAATATTTTAATTTATGCACGTACGAATATAATTTTTTCCCGTCAAGTTAGTCAGTTTATGAACCGATGAAAAATGATAGTCGAAGACGTTAACTTGTCGTTATTAATACATTATGATACGGCAAGTTAAAGACTATGTAATTTTTGTGAGTCATCGATTTCTTCTTCAGATTAACCATCGATTGAAAGTAGCGAAGACGGTGTATTGGAAGTGACGATGATATTTCTTGGTACTATCACATTGTTCATCGTCATTATGCATACTATTCTCGTGATAAAATATCTACCTTCGTCAATGAAATTATCGATTAACAATCAATGTCATTTCTAAAACAACACGTATGGTTTGAGGCATTTAACATTATGCTAACCTTCAAACCGTGTGTTCTGTAAAAAATTGTTGGAGAGAAATGCAAAGTTTTATTGGTCATCTATTTTGTTTATTGCAAGATTGTGATAATTTTTTCATTACTGTAGACATAATATTTTTATGTAAATTTGTTCGTTATTGAGTGTTGGAGCGATAGAACCATTTTGTATGTCGCCATTTTTCCTAAATCGCCATTTTTCTTACATCGCCATTTTTCCTACATCGCCATTTTTACTAAGGAAATTTTGATAGTGCAAGCAAAAGAATTTTGAACATTAAATATTAATTTTTTTATGTTCTTTCGCAAATGTATTAAACAACAAACATATATAAAATAAACTAATATTTTGTATATTTTATATATCATATTTTATTTTATTTTTAATTTTTGTAGTGTTATTTCATTTTTTATTTCTTTCTGTCATTATTTTATTTTTTATTTTCTTTCATTACTATTTTATTCTGTATTTCTTTTTATCACTATGTTACTTTTTCTGTCTTTTTATTATTTCATTTTTGATTTTTTTTTTCAATATGATTTTATTTTGTACTTTTTTATATTATTATTTTATTTTTCATTTTTTACATTATTTTAGACCTAGATACATTTTCAGACACGTTTATATACTTTTTAAAAAATAAACTTGTTTGTTAATTTAAATAGAACCTTCTCTGTAAGGGAGTTCTCTAGAAATATGTTAAATAATAATAAAATCATACTTTGACCACCGGTTTCGAAGCTCCTTTCCGCCTAGATTTCTCTTCACGACTTTTTTTCTCCACATTGCTGGCATGCTTTAATGTTTCCGTCTTCGCATTCGCTTCGACCGACTTTTTATCATCCTCATCATTAGCAGAGAAATGATTATTCACTTGCCTAATATGTAACGGGTAAATATCATATTTATACGTCTCATCTTCGACGGGATTGATCTCCTCGGGACCAGAAATATTATCTAAGTTAATACTCTGCAAGATGACGTTGACACATTTAGCCGGTTGCCGGAGAAAACTGGTTTTAAAATTTGTTAATGTTATCTCAAGATACGTGTAAATGATAAACTGAAATGTATCTAAAGGAAATAATTATACAGTAGAGAAGATGATTTATAGTTTTAAAAGTATGTATGATTAAAATGATTAATATGATAGAATAATGAACAGTTAAGTGGTAATTCGAGATGTTTAGGTTAATTTACTGTTATTAAATTGAAAAAATTTATTAATACAGATGCAAATTTAATTGATTATCATTCTGTCTAATTTAATATAATTAAATGTTAAATTCAATTGATTTGGAATAGGGTTACAGTAGACTCTCGTTATATTGCCACTTTGAATTTGGAAATTTTAGAAATTTTGGAAGGTGCAAATTTAGATGGGTAGGAGTTTAGAAATTTGGGAATTTTTGGGGTTTGTGGATTGAGGAAGTTGGGGAGTTTGGGAAATATGGGGACTGAGGAATTTTTGAATGAAAAAAATTAGAATGTTTGGAATTTGGAAATTTGAGAATTTGGGAATTTGGGAATTTGGGAATTTGGGAATTAGGGAATTAGGGAATTGGGGAATTGGGGAATTAGGGAATTAGGGAATTGGGAAATTGGGAAATTAGAGAATTGGGGAATTAGAGAATTGGAGAATTAGGGAAATGGGGAATTAGAGAATTGGGGGATTAGAGAAATGGGGAATTAGAGAATCGGGGAATTAGGGAATTGGGGAATTAGAGAATTGGGGAATTAGAGAATCGGGGGATTAGAGAAATGGGGAATTAGCGAATTGGAGAATTAGGGAAATGGGGAATTTGAGAATTTTGGAATTAGAGAATTAGGACATTAGAGAATTGGGGAATTAGAGAATCGGGGATTAGAGAAATGGGGAATTAGGGAAATGGGGAATTTGAGAATTTTGAAATTAGAGAATTGGGGAATTAGAGAATCGGGGATTAGAGAAATGGGGAATTAGAGAATTGTGGAATTAGAGAATTGGAAAATTTGAGAATTGGAAAATTTGAGAATTGGAGAATTAGAAAATTAGGAATTTAGGAATTTAGGAAATTAGGAAATTTGAGAATTTGTAAATTTGAGAATTTCACTATACAGAAATTTAGAAACGTAAAAAATGATAAAATGAAAATTTGAAAATTCGCAAACTCGGAAAGAAAAATTTGAAATTTGAAATTTTCACACTAATAGCGTCTTTCTACCGTCATAACAAAGGCATCTTATCAACTCAATATATTGCTAATTTCTATTCTATTCCCACAATCCATAATAATATAACGAGAACCACCATATACTACCTTCAATACCAAACAAATTTTATTACAAAATAAAGCTATTAGAATTACAACTATCTCTACTTTAAATACAGCATAAATTTCACCGTATTGAATTAATATAAACTTCAAACATATCAATATCAATTTAGAATCGTATTTTCTGTTCTATTTATTGTAATGAATTGGGTCACCTTAGATAAACTCGATCCTTCGTGGAATGCCTCTGCTAATGCAGGATTTATTTCTTCCAATGGCTGATCACCATGTCTTATATAAACCGGAATATAACCCGGGATACTTGGTAAAACTTGAAGTGGTAACGAATCTAAAAGAAATTAGAATTTATTTAGTGATTAAATTAAATTTGAACTTGCGTTGACTATTACGCGAACGATAAATATGCATTTCCAGTTATGGCACATTCCTGTTGCTATAAATTAATTGGAGCTTAATTAAATGTGCGACAAGTTGTGCAAAAATATGCAACATTTTACTTAATAAACATCGTTCGTTACATATATTTAGTACTGTAATTAACACTGTGCAAAAATAATTACTGTAATTATTCGATAATCTTGTATATTAACTTGCAGGTGTATTACGGAGTACGATAAAATTTATTGATCGAAATAATCGCTAATTTGAACGCAGTAATAATTAACTCATTTATGTTGTTGTTTTACAGAGTAGTCTTGAATAGTTATTTACAATTGTTCATTGTATAAAAAATCAGCAGTTAATTATGCCAATTATGATAATAAAATCAACACAGAATTCTATGTTAATAGAATCAACACTAAAGTTAGAAGAAAGCTAATAAATTATTTTACTGATCAAATATTTTATGTCCCATATTGAAGTACAATTTTCAATTTACTCCTCGCTTTTATTTTCTGACACTTCGTTGCCACTCGATAATTAATAACTTTCCGTATCGGACTTTCCTTCACTTTTATTTTAAACCGGATAACTCTCGAGGATAATTTTATTACTCAATGCCAGGTCAACCTGCCTCGAAACCTATTTAAATTCTCACTCTTTTCAAAAAATGACACGTAAAGTTCACAGTTCAAGAAATGAATCATCGAAAAATTTGACGAGTGTGATCGAGTACTATTCTTTACATCTTCGATGAACAGAATTCGTTTCATCAGAAAATTTTCGTTTAATTTTGAAGAATGAAGCACTTCCCTTCGAGGATCATCGATCACAAGAAGCACGAACTTGACAGAAGATGATTTTCACGTAAACACTTGCACCATTCGAAAAATACAGAGGAGCACCATGGAGCATATGGATCGTTTACGCGGGAGTTTCAAAAATTTTACTCACGGACATAAGCGACAGAAAGATATACGAGAAACACAAGTTCGTAGGTAGCCCTGGTACCACGTATTATCTCAGCAACCTGCATCTTTGAACGGTACTGAGCCCCCAGAGCACGGGGCTCTCTCCTTTATATGTACGGTCCCCTCTACCCCTTCAGCAGTCCGCCACAGAAAGGCCCCTCAGGGTTAACGCCGTTCCGTTAATATCGGAGCAAAAAGTCAAATCTTCCTTTACTTTCGGCAATCGCAGACGAGATCCGACGTTATTGCTGATTTCTTAGAAATACACCGGTAAATCTGACCTGAAATTCGGCTGCATCGGTTTTCATTCTTATATTCGGTGCGGGTTAATTTCGGGGAGACTTGAAGGACGGGTAATGTGATTTTCGTTGAGAGATGTGTTGGTGATGATAGTTTAATTTTGGAAGATTTTTTGTGTAACAAATATTGTGAGATTTATGAAAAATTTAAGATTGTTATTGCATTAAAATTGTGAGACTGTTGCATTAAAAATGCTGTATGATTGTGAGATATTCTGTAAACAATATTGAAAGGTGGGAAAATATTGTATATAGAATGTTTTAATATTGTAAGACATTCTATATGAAATATTATAATATTGTATTAAGAATATCATAACATTGTTAAATGTTGCATAAAAAATATTACAGTATTGTAAAATATTCTATCAAAAATATTTTAATACTGTATTAAGAATTCAGATATTGTATTAAAAATATTATAACATTGTAAAATATTGCATATAAAATGCTACAGTATTGTAAAATATTATAACAAGGATATTGTAATGTTATATAATATTGTATTAACAATATATTGCAATATAGTAAATATTGTATAAAAAATATTATAATAGAAAAGCTAGTATCAAAATATTAAATTATTTTATTACCTAAAATTATTCTTTCATTCTGTAATTATGAGAGAAATAAAAATTCATTTAAAATGATATAGAAAATTAATTATATTGTGCCGTACAAAATGCTTTAATACAGTAAAATACTGTATGAAAAACATTAAAAGCTTGTATAATATTTAATACTGCATATTTGCAGTATTTATGTATATCATTTATTTTATTCATCTTACAATAGTAATTAAGAAAAAAAAAAACTACATGAAATGCAGTGTTAAGGAATGCTGTATTCAACGTTAAAATATTGAATATGTTAAATATTTAACATTGAATATTTGTCAGGTATATTATGTCATTTTGCAAATTTGCATGATTATTACGTCTTGTGTTGTTGTAATCGATTGAGAACAATGAAATTACAAATCTAATGGAATACATTAGTAATAGACATCGAATGAAAATGGAATAAATTAAAAATTAATCATCATCAAGCTGTTATTACCTTTTTCATTAAAGTTATATAATTTTACACTTTTCATTCAAAAAATACAAAGCCATATTTTTATGAACAAACCTTACCTTTATTAAATAAAAGTATAATTATATAATTTACAAATTTATAATTATACTTTTGTTTTACTTTATAAACATAAAATCTTTCTAAAAAAATTCCTATTATACACAAAATAGTTCAAATTCTGATTTTTAATATTCAACATTGAAAATTTTACGCAATGATTCAATGACGTCACATCACAATTCTTGTAAATAAAATGAGTAATTTGAAATATTAAAAATACATCGTAGATAATTAAAGATATTAATTATTAATCGCAAAATGAATCGTTATTTCTTCTTGTGCATCCACCGTCAAAAAATGTTAAAGAAATTGAGATTAATTATTATTCGCCCATAGAATCGATGCACGATACGTTTTTTGTCCTACGAATGGTATGCTACTGATCGATCGGATTCGATCCCTTCGCACAGGTAATCGTACCCCACGAGATCTTTAACCTTGAGTCCTCTTCTTCCTGATCGTTCAAGTGAATCCGATTCGAGGATCGACAGTGCATAAATCTTACTAATCGAAGGTCGCCACTGATCGATGTACGATAAGCATTGATAAATTGTAATCGTAGATTCGCTCGATCAAGCTCGTTTGTATAATTCATAGAACTTTAACGTATGCAATTCTGTCTCCGTATTATTCGTTGAAAATCATTGTATTTCACAAACAATTCTTTCCGTACAAACCAATGTCAATTTATATTTCTTGTCGAAGTTAAAAACCAGATTCTTCTGTTAAAAAATTACTCGATCAAACACTGATAAAATATTTTCTAAAAATATGAACAAAGAATCTGTTTCGCACATATCCTCCCTGAAATAAATTTACAGAGCAGTATTTCTTCTCAACAATAAAATATTGAAGAGTTAAAAATTTCTTTCTTATATCTTCCTTGTAATTAATTTACGAAGCAAAATTTCAACAACACGTTAGAAAGTGTTGCGACATAATGAACCATCCAGTATTTGATATAACAGAATTCTAAAACCGTAACCTGTACAAGAACCTCACCGAATTAACCCTAATTCGTCCAGTAATTTTCGAAACGTGTTTTAGTGAATTAACCGTGATACGTACTTGACCGTAAAAAGAAAAAAGGAACGGTACTAAATTGCCTATCCTAATCCATCTAGTAATTTCCAGCTGGAAACGTGGTTATACGTTTTTGTGAATCCCACTACGATTATTACTCGTATATTTATATCCTTTCTCCTGGATTTTCAATGAAATCATGCATCAGCGCGAAGACCACGGCTGCTTTTCAATTTCACCGCACAGCTGTTTTATTGGGACGAATAAGTCCCGAAGGTAATAACATATTCTGAACGAAAGGTCAGGATCATGAAGCAACGCGAGGACTCGCATGTTCATCTTAAATAAGCTCTTTCGATCGCGTAAGCGTTAATAAATGTAGAAATTACTTGTCTCGGATTATTTGCGCGACGGCGTTTTAGCAAAATTTTAAATTAACGCGCTTTCTTGACGCATGCCTTTTGTTGCGCTTCCGGAATACCCTGACGTTGGATTACTGTTTGAGATAGAATGAACTACCATGTTTTAAATAATTATTTCTTGGTTATTTCATCAAGCTTCAAAGAAGCAAACTTATTTATATTTATTTATTTGGTAATTTTGAGGTTATCGGAACTCTTGGAATCTTCGGAAATTTTGGTTTAAAAATTCCTGGATTTTTTAATTTGCTGCGCTCTGAGAATTTTATGGTTTGCAGTTTATTAATTTTGAGAGTTTGGTATAATTAAATTGCCGCGCTTTAGGACACTGGGACTTTGAGGTTTTTAATTTTTAGAATTTTGGGATTTTAGTACATTGAAATTTTGTTAAAATTTCAGCCCTTTAGGACTTCGACATTTTGGAAGGTTTTAGTAGAATTGAAATTTTGGAATTTTGGATTTTTAGCATTTTAAGATTTTTTAACTCTGTTGTTTGGATTTTCAGTACATTGGAATTTCAAAATTTTAAGGTTTTGGTGCTTTGAAATTTCGTAATTTTTGTACCTTGGGACATTAGAATTTTAAGACTGTGTAATGTTGGAATTTTGGGTACTTAGAACATCCATATAGTATTTTATTAATCAAGCAGTTGTTTATCTGACTTTTTATTTATTTAGTGGTTATTTATCTAGCTTCATATACATAGTAGTTATTTATCTGGTTTCTTATTCATCTAGCAGTTATTTACAAGGTTGCTTGTGTGTTTAGCAGTTGTGTATCTGATTTCTTATTTGTCTAGAACTTTATCTGGTTTCTGATTTATTTAGTGGTCATTTATCTAGCTTCATATTTACATAATATTTATTTATCAGGTTTCTTATTTACTTAGCAGTTATTTATAAGACTTCTTGTTTCTCTATCAGTTGTTTATCTATTTTCTTGTTTATCACGCAATAATGCATGTAGCATTTTATTTATCTAGCAGTCACTTATCCAGTTTCTTACTTACTCAGCAATTATTTATCCTGTTTCTAATCCCATTTCATTTCACGTCGTAATAATGCAATAATAATGTCTTCATTCCAAACACTAATGAACACTTTTCCTGGAAAGGATTCAACGATATCTCGATCTTAGATCAATCAACTTTTTTTTGCAAAAAATTTCTATCCAATTTTTCTTGTTCTCTCTCTCGACACGATGAAAACCACAGTTTGTTCTAATCTTGTTTTATAACACACTCATCCGATGACACTGAACGTTAACAACAGCTGGTCCCAGCTTAAGAAAAGGAATGATACGACATTTTTCTGCCTTTTTTCAAATTAACTTGTCCTGAAACTTGTTGAACAGGGTGGTATTTATATTCGACGCGATTCAGAGCGTTTTATAGCCCATTACTAGGTGTAAAAGGAAGTAGATACGTGAAGCAAGATCGATTCGATGAATTAATCGTTTGAAATGTTGTTCATTAAAACCAGTAATGTACGAATATATGTTGATGATCCCCCATTGTTGCCTCACGCGAGAGAGGACGAAATTGAAATTAAGATTATACCGAATTATGTAAACCGTAAACATAGCCTGTATCCACGGTGTCCTTCGCATTTCATGCTCTTCTTGTCATTTTCTTAACTCTCTCGTTAATCGTATCAAGTATTCGTGATATTCAAACACCACATTTGTCCTTTTCCTTACTTTTATTTAATCTATTAAATTCGTACTTTATTCGGCAAATTTTTATAATATATACTAAAGTCTGCTACACATCATTTTATTTTTTAACCTTTCTGTTATGTACATTTTATGAGTTGCATTTATGTACATTAATTATAGATTTGCAAATTTGTAGAGGATTTGTCTAGGAATTTGGAGATTTAGGGAAATTTTTGCTAGGTATTGTTAGGTCTAGTGATTATTGGAGATCGAAATTTAGGGAGATGAAAATTGTGGATCTGAGGTATGGAAATCTAGGGAATTTCTTGAAAGGAATTTTTAGTTTTAGGAATTCTTGGACTTGGGAATTTAGAAGGAAAGAAATTGGGCGTCTAGGGATTTTTGACCGGGATTTTTGGACGCAGAAATTTGGGACGATAGAAATTTGAGAATCTAGGGATTTGGGGATGTAGAGATTTGGAAATCTAGAAATTTGGATGATAGAGAAATTTGAGAATATAGTAATCGTGGAATCAAATAATTTTAATGGGGAAATGGTAATTCTGGGATCTAGGTATTTAGGAATCTAGGGATTTGGGAATTTAGGGATTTGGGAATTTAGGGATTTGGGAATTTAGGGATTTGGGAATTTAGGGATTTGGGAATTTAGGGATTTGGGAATTTAGGGATTTGGGAATTTAGGGATTTGGGAATTTAGGGATTTGGGAATTTAGGGATTTGGGAATTTAGGGATTTGGGAATTTAGGGATTTGGGAATTTAGGGATTTGGGAATTTAGGGATTTGGGAATTTAGGGATTTGGGAATTTAGGGATTTGGGAATTTAGGGATTTGGGAATTTAGGGATTTGGGAATTTAGGGATTTGGGAATTTAGGGATTTGGGAATTTAGGGATTTGGGAATTTAGGGATTTGGGAATTTAGGGATTTGGGAATTTAGGGATTTGGGAATTTAGGGATTTGGGAATTTAG